GGATAATGAAATGGTGAAAACTTGGTTTGAATATTACTCTTTTAATCTGATGTTCCACAATTGGAGGTTACCGAAAGAATGTCCTAAGAAGGGCTCTGTTTAGCTAGAGGACCCCCTCTTGTCAGCGTAGCTCTCGCTCTGTTTATTGTGCTCTGAGACTCTGAGGCACGTTCCCTTAAGAAAGCACCGATTAATGAAATGCAGACGATCAGATTTCGACTTTCCCTTCACTAAGATTATCTTACAATTCCGTATCTAATTCTTTTGAGTGTTCTTTTACATGTGTCTATTATTTGACTGTGGGTAGAAATTTCCCGATCATAACAACCTCACGGATGTTGTGTCGAGAGAATAGGATGGCAACTTGTTGCCATCAAAACTGTTACAGAAGCTTGTCCTGTAAGCCCGCTAGAGACCGAATGCGACTTTGCCTCTCCTGGGCCCCCGCTGGTAACATCCTGAACAGTAATCCGTCTCGGCGGGTATTATCGGACAGGGCGGCGAAATGAGTCGCGTCTCGCGACGAACGGTCTACTCTTCTGATGATCCTACGAGTGAAGGAGAGTTTATTCCAAGCACATGCATTGTACAAGCACCGGCTGTACGACGCTCTCCTGGCTTTGGGTTCAGCTAGAGAGTAACAAAGGCCAAACACCATCTCGGCCGTCATTATACTGATATGAAGTTACTCCTCGAGGAGCAGCATGTTCAAAGGATCGACGACTTTTCCCAATCTGTATAGAAATATAGTTCTGCAAGTTAGTTAGTTAATTTATGTGATTAAATGGCTTTTTTGTTTCCGAAGATTTTTTATTTTAACTGTAATGTATTTGTTGAGTTTTTATTGTCGACTATTTGGGGACTATGGAATCTATTGCGTTTGAATTGCTTCTGTTTAGATCGTCGATATGGTTATCAATTTCGTTTGTAGATATACAATTACTCGATTTAATATTCGTACACCGTGGTATTATTGCTTTATATACTTACTTGAAACATAGTTATGGAATTTTCTGATGGGTTAAAGCACATATTCTAATTTACGGATGTACGACATTAACACTAGGTTTACGGGCATTTATTGTACACTTCATTCTATTATTCCTAAAAGAATTGATGCTCGTTTATTTAGATTGTGGAAACTGGAGATTTGATAGAAGGTAATTGGGGTACATGTCAGTGTGATCGCATCAATCAAAATCACTCACCACTTACTTTCTTTTAAATATAAGTTTGTCGACTGTTTGTAAATATGAAGTAAATGTCATAGTTCACTCATTTTCAAATAATCAATCTCATAGTGAGCTTTATCATTTCGACAACGAATTTGTAAAAGTAGGTTGTAAAAATAAAAATATGTCACTTAATATTCGATAATCTGTTGTTTAACATTGGGAAAAAGGAAAATCGTACCGAGAAATTGGGAAATTATTAAATTTAAACAAAGGTACAGTTGTAGGCATTATAGGACGGTTAAATCAAGAAGATTGAATCAATTCCGCAAAAAGTATGTCCATATACTCTCGACAATCGCAATACGCAGAAAATTATACGAAAAAACAGAGTGGTCCAAGATTAAGTGCTTCAATTTTAACTGTAGAGTTGTTTGAAGAAAGTGGAAAAAAAGTACATGTGGACATAGTTGGTAATGCCTTAAAAAACGCTGATTATAATCATAAAACAGCCTATAAAAAGCCATTTACAAGTACCACAAATCGCAAGAAGCGTTTAACATTCGTCAAAGAATTTATTTATTTATTAAAGTTATTGTAACCTTTTTAGATATACTTGTATATAACAAGTAAATATTATGTAATGTTATGTTTCCATATATTTTTCCGATCTCGGAATTCAATCTAATTTCATTAAAATATATTTTTCTATATAATAATAAAAGATAAAATAATGAATTCCATAGACCTGTAAATTAGAATACATTTCCTAACCCATCACGAACCAGAAAATTCCATAACTATATTTCAAATAAGTAAATGGAGCAATAATACCATGGTGTCCCAATATTAAATCAAATACATAACAGTCACCTATTCTTATCGTAACCAGTCAAATAACTGTCTGCAAAATAAAGGTAAACAAGTTCGATGGCAAGTTTTTCTTAGGGGAAATAGAAACAAAAGGAAAGACAAAAATTTAAAAAATTGATTATTCGGGCAATGTAGGAAATGATATAAAGTTAAATGAACGGAATAAAACGAAGAATTTTAAATCAAATTTTAAAATCGATTATTTGAACGATTCCGTCGTTGTCGTCGCTGCCGAGTTCACCTGTATGTATGTGTATATGTTGGATGCGTGTACGTACACTCCTTTTCAAAAAGAGAGACCAGGTATGCTATCTTCAATTTCTCAATGACGCATGCAAAATTTTATATCTGTGACAACTGATTTCAAACTATTATGATTTCAAGATATACGACTCATTGAAAATAAGTCACAATATCATAGAGGTTTGTATACAATAAAGAAAAACTATTCCGTACCAAGGCCGAAATGGTAGCACAGTCTGTTAATATGTTTAGAAATAGTTCAGTAGTCCGTGATCTGTGATATCAATTTTTAATTGTTTCAGACTTTAGGTTAAAAGTGCAAAAAAATTAACTGTAGAAATTGAAGAAGTATGTGAAAAACGAACTGTAGACTGAATCTCTCTTATACAGAACGATATAATCGAAAATGTGATTTTGAACTGTTGCGTAACTATAGCACCGGCGTTGTTATTTACTAATTTCACTGACTTTAGTTTCGTTACGCATCGTTTAACTTACATAACGAAATTTCTACGAAAATTAAAATTGAAGTTAAAAATTTTCCACGCTAAATAAAAAAATTTGTATCTTGGAAATGCCGCGTGGTAAATATTTAACGGAAAAGGAGAGGGGTAAAAGTTTAGCCATGAAGGAATTAGATTTTAGCATGCGCGAAATTACTCGTGGGATGGGAACGTCATATAAAGTTGTTATAAACTTTTTACGTGACGAAGATAACTATGGAAAGAATAAAACGTGTGGACCAAAGAAGGAATTGAGTCCACGTGCGGAACGAATAATTGTGAAAACGGCCAGCAATACATTACAAAGTTGTAATCAAATTAAAAGAGAACTTAATCTTGATGTTTCACGCTGGATTATACATCGAGTTTTACAAGAAAATCGTAACATCGTGAGACAAAAATTAAAGTCTACACCCAAACTTCTACCGCGCCATAAGATTGCAAGACTCGAGTACGCTTGAGTAAACATGCATCGGAATTGGCATAACGTAAGTTAATTTCGGATATTAAAATCTTCTAAACCCAGCTTATTGTAATTTCTTTTATTGACAATTAGACTGTCTTTTTGGACGAAAAGAAATTCAATCTTGATGGACCTGATGGATACAATTCACGCTGGCGAGGTCTTCGCAAGGATCCACGGTATTTCATGAAAAGAAATTTCGGTGGAGGAAGTCTTATGGTTTGGGGGGCTTTTTACACTGATGGCATGTTAGAATTAGCTTTCCCATCGAAAAAATGAATAGTGACGAGTATATTAGTATCTTAGAAAATAATTTCCTACTCTTTTTTCAAGAAAATAGTACTGTAAGTTGGTCGTGTCAACAAGATAACGCGACTATACACATAAATCGAAAAGTGACGGCATGGTTTGAAGCAAACGATAATAACATTATTAAATGGCCAGCATGTTCGCCCGACCAAAATCGTATGAAAGATATCTGGGGCATAATTGTGAGGAACGTTTACGCAGAAAATCAGCAATACGGAAACGATTCAGAATTAAAAAACGCCATAATCGAAATAAGTAACAAAATCAACAGAGACATTTTTCGGAAACTTATTGATACTGTAACAAATAGAAACTTCGAGCTAATTACAAAAATGGGTGGTCTTACAAGTTATTAAAATCGTTTATGGTTGATTTTATTGATGTGGTGCTCTAGTTACACAACAGTGAAAATTCATACTTTTGATTGTATCGTTTTGTACAACAGGAAAATTTAAATAAAAATTACTTTAAAGTTTATTATTTTTCATATCCTTTAAATTTTTACAATTAATTTTTACGCACTTCCAACCTACATTTTGAAACAGGTAAAAATTTAGGCGGTACTATAGTTATACACCGAAGTGTATGTATGCGCGAGTACGGAGGGGTGTGCGCCTATATCGACAGTTGCTGAAGAAAACAGAGTTGGCGCAAAAATAGGATGCCCGCCAGTGACCGGGAAACGAAGCGGATTACACGGTGGAACACGATTTTTGTTTTGTAATAGCTACTAGGTGGTCCTTATAGAGTTCCTTACTCTAAATACGAATCCGAAAACCACGTTGGATCACGACCAGTTTTCGAAAAAACTGGGTTTTTGTAAAAACTGTCGAATTTTTCAGAAAACCAAGTGTTACGTGAAAACCAAAAACGATAGGCAGTTAAAATTTATTGTAGAAAATAGAGGAGACTTGCCCGAATATGTAGCTATAAAAATTTTGAATTTTGCATATCATTAAATGTTTGTAAATGATGATCAAAGTTTAAAAAAGGGTAGATACGCGTACTTTGTGTACACTTCTGTTACACTAAACTATTACACAAGGTACGATCTACAATGGGTGTTTACTGAAGTATTTTTAAATTAACACTAAAACTATTGAATATACTCGAATATTCGTTATAGTTCCAGTAAACTTAATTAATTTTTGAAAATATTTCAGATATCTATTACTTTCAAGGTACTAATAATCGAAAGATAATAAAATTTATACCGGCCATCAACTGTGTTCACATATTAAACATCAAATTATTTAAAACAGAACGATTGTGAAAAGCTTTCTCATAACTATTATGAAAATTTATAAAACAATTAAGTATTATACATGCATGTAAGAAGTGACCGGGGTCCAGGTCTATACAGCGCGTAGTCACGGCCCTGAATAGCTATCACCGGCGAGCGATGGACGTGTGGCGCCAAAGTTCTGTGCACGCGCTCTTCACGGACATTTTCTTAACCTGTCCGAAAGAAAAACTGTTCTCACGCTTCCCGCGGAAGGGTTCCTCTTCAGAAATGTCCACAAAATCCAATGGTGCATAGCAAATTCGGGTTATCCAACCCACTTTCCGTAGAAATGTAACAGAAGTGCACACAAAGTACGCACATTTACACGTTCTTAAACTTTGATCATCATTTATAAACATTTAATGATACGCAAAATTCAAAATTTGTATAGCTACATATTCGGGTAAGTCTCCTTTATTTACGGCACTTTATAAGAATCACCTAGTGATTATTGCAAGACACAAAAAAAAGTTCAAATTTGTTCTACAGTGTTACTGAATACTACCAGAAAATTCTCGTCTGTTTTCTTTCCAAAATTCCCCGCCTTTTCTGGTGACTTTCATGTTTGTGTCACCCATTGAGAGGTGGCATGGTGGAAAGATATCGAACGAAATCGAAGGGAAGGCCAATCTCGAAGCTAGAGGGTAGAAGAAAGTTGGAAGTAGGGATGAGAAACGGGAACTAGATATACAAACATTGTTTTTTGGTTAGTCTTTCGTGTGACCACGTGAAGTTGATTTGGAAGAATTGTGTGCTTAGTTTTCAGTAAGTAAAATTGTAATTAATACTGACGCCATCTACATGTGTACTTATTAATTGCTTTCTTTTACTAACATTTCTATCATTTATTTAAATTACAGAATAGATCTTACTACGAAAGAAAATCCGTTACATTCAAGCTTACTACTGACAAGATGGTCTGTAGCGGTAAGTACGTAGTTTACTGCCCATAAATATGATGACAATGAATACATTAATAATAGGTAGGAATGTGAGTCCTTTTATTTTATGTTCTTATATTTCATTAATAAATTTATCTTTCTTATATGTATCTATAGAAAGTGTATTGTAATCTCTTTTACCTTTTCGTTATTAAAAACTTAATTTTCTTTTTATTTCCTTTATATTAAAGATTTTTTGTTATTATTTTATCAGTTTGTTTTAACAAATAAACGTCCTTTTGTACAATATTATATGTATATGATGATATTTTTTTCATGGACATTGAATTTTTATACAATATACAGTGACTGAAAGTAAAACTCTGACACTTGTATATTTTTGGTTTATGAAGCGATAAGTAATATAGGGAACAAATTAATATGAATGATTTAAAGTCATAGACATGGATTTATATATCCATAATTGTAGCTTAATAAAGGTTACTCAATTGTTCATGTTAATTCGTTGTCTACATTATTTATTGTTTCATAAACCAAAAAATATTGAAGTGTCCGAGTTTTACTTTAAGCCACTGTATACATATTTGCTTTTGCGAGTATAATTTATTAAAATTGTTGTATGAGGTTTCCCTTGAAATTTTAGATCTACAAATACATGTAACACTTATTGTATATTTAATTTTAATAATTATGCATATAAACTAACTGAATATATAGATTTTTCTATAGTTTGCCATTATTTTATAAAATACTATGAAACTTCTCCTATTTATATTTCTTCAACTTTAGTCTTCAAATTAGTGTAAAAATTCATTATAACTTTATGTTGTTTTATTGTTTAAAGGAAAAAGTATATAATTTAAAATTATTATATGTACATTTACGCAGTATGTGTGTTAGCTGATTTTATTAGATGCTTTACAATGTTTATAAGATTTATATTTGAAATTTGAAATTAAAAATTTTACCATGTAAGTTGTATTATTTATGGTGGGAATGTTACATTTAGTTCTTTGTAATTCTGATTCTATTTTATATTATTTCAATATATTTATTCTCTTGTCTTTGATGTTCTAAATTCATTTAATAAACTTAATATAGATTTAATAGAAATAAGTGTAGTGTCTGCTTTTAACATTACAGCTTCCAGACAGGTCAAAATCATCCATTCCTGATTTCTTCTTTTATAATTCCTGATACAGTACAGATACTTATTTAAGAAAATGTTAAAGAAACTGATCCAATAATACCTAAACTGAAATGTAAGTAGATTGAAATCTTGATAAATGCTCATTTATAGTTTCTATAAAGAAATTTTAAAAAGTCAGTTTAAGTGCTCGATAGTTCTAATGTTAATATAAATAGGTTTAGTATGCTTTTACAATAATTGTAATATCTGTAATTTTATGAAAATTCATAATTGCAGTAGAGTAACTAATTGAGTTATACGTTGCAGATTTTACTTTTATCACGACTTATAAATAATAAGGTATAATATGAATTATGTTTGTAATGTGATCAATAGAATTTCATTGTATTCATTTTTGAGGAACATTATAGAAATTCTTATACTGCCATTTTTTTTTGTAAATACATACTTCAAATAGTCTCGTATATTTAGTCGAGTCAATGTTGTAATATATAGAAAATCTTCAAGTTTTTGTATGTCCATATTTTCTTCAACTTTTTGTGTTATATATTGCAGGAGTATTTATGAACCCAGTGGGAGGGTAAAATTACAATTATCATTCTTATAATATAAATATAATTTTTTTAAATATATATTTTACAGGAGTACAATATTATTGAAAATTTGAAGTATATAATTAGTAATAAGGTAATCTTTTCTTTTTGTACATATCTATTAATAATATTGGCATTAACACTAGAATAACCGAGCTTTTAATATGATTAGTATCTACTTCTTATAAAAATTGTAACAATAGGTTTTTTCAATTAGTGCACATATTCATTATAGTATTCAAGTGAAATTATTTCTTTTTCAAATCATTTTGGATATTTAACACTTTCAAGATATTAACAATTACGAAATAAGAAAACTCTGAAACCCACTATTCTGATAAATCTGGTAGTTCCAACATTAAAAATAAATGTTTAATATGTTTTTAGTTTTCTTCAAACTCACACATGTCTATTTTATTTAAATATATAAATTTCAATCCAGTTGGAAAACAATATATTTTTCCAAATTTCGAAATTTGTTGTAATTAATTTCTTTGACGATTTTTTCCATATTTTTTGACCGAGTTTGTTAACATATCCTTATCTTCGGACTACACACAGAACCTATCCATTATTCATCAGTATTCTTTGAACAGTTTTCAAATTTATTTCTTCACTACAATCATTTTTTACAATAGTAGCTATTAACGACGAATTTGATTTCAGATATGTTTTTAATATATTCAAGACTTTCCATATTTTTCAAATTATTAATTTCATACTACTTTTCTTTGCGTAAGTTTTAAATAATTTCGTAACACCTAGGACAATAAATCAACTTATTTTCATTATTTTTACAATTTCATTGTATGACTTATCTTCCATCAATTTTATTATATAGCCGAATAAGGGTGGTAAAAGTGCCCCCGAAACCAAATGAATTGGTACGTATATCCTCCACCCCTCCTATTTATTAGATTATGAATTTGGATTTGTTTAAATGTACACGCACAGTTCATATAAACGAACAAAGACTTTATTCAACGCAAAAGTTCTTACTCCGCAAAAGTTGGAACACAAGTGGGCGAGGTCTTCAAAAAGAGGGTTGATCAAAAGGATGCCTAGTAATCCACGCAAACGAAAACACATAAAAGAGAAAAACACTAGATGATCTACGATCGATAATTTTTGCTCTTGAGGCGGTTTACATCGACACGGCCCCTCGTTTAAAATTTTATTTAAAAAGTATTTATTTTTCTTTCATATGAATACGACGCATTCTCTTTAGTGATTTCGGAGACAATTACATGTGAGGCGGTTTACATCGACACGGCCCCTCGTTTAAAATTTTATTTAAAAAGTATTTATTTTTCTTTCATATGAATACGACGCATTCTCTTTAGTGATTTCGGAGACAATTACATGTGGTACAACATTTGTTGCAAGGATTAGGGAAACCCTAATCTGACTATCTCACAGCGTTTATCATATTTAAGTCAATCGTAAGTTGTAGCATTACTTCGCGCATCCCGACAAATTTCACGGCCGGCAATGGCTTCGCCATTGCATCTGCAATTTGATGACCTGTGGGAATATATTTCAATTTGATTATATTTATCTTTATCTGTTCTCTAGAGAAATGTTACTCAATATCTCTGTTTTGTACGCTTATGATTTGTGGGATTATTAACAATACTAATGCAACTGTTATTGGGTAATTATTTAGTTTGTAGTGTTCCCCATCGATTTTGATGATTTTTGGATGTGTTGTCGGGAACGTAATTCTAAGCAACTTTTTCCTATGTCGTTATTTTTTGGATTGTGAGATAATCGCAAAAAAATTTTGCCTATACATAGACAGCTAACACACAACTCTCTTCGCTGTAGTAATGTACGCTGCCGACCGTCAACTGGCCGATGAAGACGCTCAAAACGTGGACACTGGCTGGAAATTTGGTTTTGCTCACAACAGGGACATCCTCGGGATTGTGGGAAAACCAACCGTCGTTCCTCCGGTTCAGTTTGGCATCCACAGTGAAAATTTTCTCTTCGGAAAAAAACCTAATGTGGCCAGCAGCTTCGTGTTTTAATGAATACAGAAGCAAATTACAACGGGCAAGTCTTTTAAGCTTAGCGGCCACGGAGAGCATCTGACGGACTTTGAGAACGTAGGAGGTATATCTAAGATCCTCTTGAGCGATTCGACGGACGATCGTTTCACTCACCCTCAAGGCGGAGGCCAATTTCCGAAGCGAGGTCCCCGGATCTTCCAAAATCATGTCTTGGACCCATTGAATGATTTCTGCGGTCCTTGTTGATTTTTCCCTAATCTGCACTTTTCTCGCCGGAGAAAGAGAATCCTTCTCGAATCCATCTAAGGCTGTGTACCTTTTCGCAACGTCGTATACCGTCGATCTTGGGTATCCAAAGAATTTTATAATTTCTACCGGTGTTCTCCCGGTGCAAAGGCTTTCTATAACTGCTGCTCTTCTATTGTATTCCACGCTTGGATTATAGAAGTCTTATTGACATATTTAACACGTTCAACCCAGCGTGGACCACCGGTGGTCCACGAGCATTACTGTCATCTGGCGGCGTGAACCACCGGTGGTCCACATATGTTTCTAATTTTATTTAAAAAACCATACTTTAAATTAGATACCTGGAAAAGAACTAGACGGGAGAAAATAAAAAAAATATTTTTACAGTTGTTTTCAATATGAAAAAAACAATTCGCCAAAAAAAATAGTCAAAATAAGCAATAATTATAATTAAAATATAATTTATTTATGAACTTCTGCAAAACATGGAGTACAAAGCGTTGGTTTGTTTTTACAGGCTGGACAATAAGTATTGACTCTTATGGTCTTCTTGATGGTATTTATTCTTCCTTCCTTCTCCACTATTGAAAGATAGTAGTTCTTACATCGTTTCCTTTTCGTTCTTAGAGGTCCGTCATATTTTGTCAGAATATGACGGAATGGTTTCGGCGAAAAAGGTACATTTTCAACTTTCAAAAGAGCGTCAATTATTCTTTTACGGAAATTTAGGATACAAACATTTTTACGGGTACCAAATTTGGTATATAGGCACCATGCATTTACTAACATAGTACCACAGATCACTTCTAATATTATCTTCCTATACCATTTAATGGTTTTTCTTAGTGAACTATAGTAAGCTGATATTTGGTCAGAAAGATCAACTCCTTTTTTGGCTTTATTGTAGCTTAGAATGCAATCTGGATTTTGCACAGATTTGTGTCCTCTGGTTGTGACTTCCATAAGGCAGCACTTGTGGTATTTACATGTTGTTAACATCAATACTGCCCTCTTATCTGTC